CAGAGCGAGGAAGTTCGCTTTTTAAATGGGTCATGGTAGAATGGAGATAACCCTAGTGTGTTTGAAAATCAGAGACATGCTTTACTGAATTGATGGCGACTAAATATTTCAATTGAAACCTCACGCTACGCGTTCGGTTCCAATTGAAATGTAGTCGCCATCAATTCAGTAAAGCATGTCTCTGATTTTCAAACACACTAGGTTTATCTCCTAAATACATGATATACATGATATGTTCAGTTTAAGTATTAATATACAATACATGACATGTTCAGTTTAAGTATTAATATACAATACATGATATACATGATATGTTCAGTTTAAGTATTAATATACAATACATGACATGTTCAGTTTAAGTATTAATATACAATACATGACATGTTCAGTTTAAGTATTAATATACAATACATGATATACATGATATGTTCAGTTTAAGTATTAATATACAATACATGATATACATGATATGTTCAGTTTAAGTATTAATATACAACACATGATATGTTCAGTTTAAGTATTAATATACAATACATGATATACATGATATGTTCAGTTTAAGTATCAATATACAATACATGATATACATGATATGTTCAGTTTAAGTATTAATATACAACACATGATATACATGATATGTTCAGTTTAAGTATTAATATACAATACATGATATACATGATATGTTCAGTTTAAGTATTAATATACAATACATGACATGTTCAGTTTAAGTATTAATATACAATACATGATATACATGATATGTTCAGTTTAAGTATTAATATACAACACATGACATGTTCAGTTTAAGTATTAATATTCAATACATGATATACATGATATGTTCAGTTTAAGTATTAATATACAATACATGATATACATGATATGTTCAGTTTAAGTATTAATATACAACACATGACATGTTCAGTTTAAGTATTAATATACAATACATGGTATACATGATATGTTCAGTTTAAGTATTAATATACAATACATGATATACATGATATGTTCAGTTTAAGTATTAATATACAATACATGACATGTTCAGTTTAAGTATTAATATACAATACATGATATACATGATATGTTCAGTTTAAGTATTAATATACAATACATGACATGTTCAGTTTAAGTATTAATATACAATACATGATATACATGATATGTTCAGTTTAAGTATTAATATACAATACATGACATGTTCAGTTTAAGTATTAATATACAATACATGATATACATGATATGTTCAGTTTAAGTATTAATATACAATACATGATATGTTCAGGTTTGTTCAATATAACTCACTCACTCACTCATTGCAACTTACCCAGATAAGTAAGTCGGAAAGAAGATTGTTTTATTTATGATCAACTGTGAAATTAACACACTTACAGTTCCAGGGGAATATCTAGAAATGGGCTTCACAAACTGTACCCATGTGGGGAATCGAACCCGGGTCTGAGCGAACGCTTTAACCACTAGGCTTCCCCACCGCCTCCATACCTCAATGAACCGAAGAATTCAATATACACAGTCAATCCTGATAATTTTTTTTTTTAAAGTAGAAATTTTAATCGAATAAGCCCACATTAGTGTGAGAAAGATCCACACTGTCAGCATAGGAATATATCACTTCTGTCAATAAAACCTGGGCCCAGAAAATACACGTGAAACAACGGCAATCCTATCCAGTCTTCACTGCAGTTACGTCGTATGCAATCGCGTTGCATAATAAAATGAAATAATTCTACATGTTTACAGTTAATCTATTGATAATCAACTACAAGTACAAGACTAGTCAACACAAACGACAAGTAAGCGAGCCAAAAAATTTCACTCGTGAAGAAATTCGATGTTGACGTTATGTATAACTGAATAGCTTCGATACCTTCGTCTACTGCAGGTGACATGACGGTTACTACAGTGTCTAGGGTGTATGTTGACGTTAGGTATAACTGAATAGCTTCGATACCTTCGTCTACTGCAGGTGACATGGCGGATACTACATTGTCTAGGGTGTATGTTGACGTTATGTATAACTGAATAGCTTCGATACCTTCGTCTACTGCAGGTGACATGACGGTTACTACAGTGTCTAGGGTGTATGTTGACGTTTTGTATAACTGAATAGCTTCGATACCTTCGTCTACTGCAGGTGACATGACGGTTACTACAGTGTCTAGGGTGTTTGTTGACGATAACCGTTATATAGTCTCCCTGGTATAACTGAATAGCTTCGATACCTTCGTCTACTGCAGGTGACATGACGGTTACTACAGTGTCTAGGGTGTTTGTTGACGATATGTATAACTGAATAGCTTCGATACCTTCGTCTACTGCAGGTGACAGGTGACATGACGGTTACTACAGTGTCTAGGGTGTTTGTTGACGATAACCGTTATATAGTCGTCCCTGGTATAACTGAATAGCTTCGATACCTTCGTCTACTGCAGGTGACATGACGGTTACTACAGTGTCTAGGGTGTTTGTTGACGATATGTATAACTGAATAGCTTCGATACCTTCGTCTACTGCAGGTGACATGACGGTTACTACAGTGTCTAGGGTGTTTGTTGACGATAACCGTTATATAGTCTCCCTGGTATAACTGAATAGCTTCGATACCTTCGTCTACCGCAGGTGACATGACGGTTACTACAGTGTCTAGGGTGTATGTTGACGTTATGTATAACTGAATAGCTTCGATACCTTCGTCTACTGCAGGTGACATGACGGTTACTACAGTGTCTAGGGTGTATGTTGACGTTATGTATAACTGAATAGCTTCGATACCTTCGTCTACTTACGGTGACATGACGGTTACTACAGTCTCTAGGGTGTATGTTGACGTTAGGTATAACTGAATAGCTTCGATACCTTCGTCTACTGCAGGTGACATGACGGTTACTACAGTGTCTAGGGTGTATGTTGACGTTATGTATAACTGAATAGCTTCGATACCTTCGTCTACTGCAGGTGACATGACGGTTACTACAGTCTCTAGGGTGTATGTTGACGTTATGTATAACTGAATAGCTTCGATACCTTCGTCTACCGCAGGTGACATGACGGTTACTACAGTCTCTAGGGTGTGTATGTTGACGTTTTGTATAACTGAATAGCTTCGATACCTTCGTCTACTGCAGGTGACATGACGGATACTACAGTCTCTAGGGTGTATGTTGACGTTTTGTATAACTGAATAGCTTCGATACCTTCGTCTACTGCAGGTGACATGACGGTTACTACAGTGTCTAGGGTGTATGTTGACGTTATGTATAACTGAATAGCTTCGACATGACGGATACTACAGTGTCTAGGGTGTATGTTGACGATAACCGTTATATAGTCTCCCTGGTATAACTGAATAGCTTCGATACCTTCGTCTACTGCAGGTGACATGACGGATACTACAGTGTCTAGGGTGTATGTTGACGTTTTGTATAACTGAATAGCTTCGATACCTTCGTCTACTGCAGGTGACATGACGATTACTACAGTGTCTAGGGTGTATGTTGACGTTATGTATAACTGAATAGCTTCGATACCTTCGTCTACTGCAGGTGACATGACGGTTACTACAGTGTCTAGGGTGTATGTTGACGTTATGTATAACTGAATAGCTTCGATACCTTCGTCTACTGCAGGTGACATGACGGTTACTACAGTGTCTAGGGTGTATGTTGACGTTATGTATAACTGAATAGCTTCGATACCTTCGTCTACTGCAGGTGACATGACGGATACTACAGTGTCTAGGGTGTATGTTGACGTTATGTATAACTGAATAGCTTCGATACCTTCGTCTACTGCAGGTGACATGACGGTTACTACAGTGTCTAGGGTGTATGTTGACGTTATGTATAACTGAATAGCTTCGATACCTTCGTCTACTGCAGGTGACATGACGGTTACTACAGTGTCTAGGGTGTATGTTGACGTTATGTATAACTGAATAGCTTCGATACCTTCGTCTACCGCAGGTGACATGGATACTACAGTGTCTAGGGTGTATGTTGACGTTATGTATAACTGAATAGCTTCGATACCTTCGTCTACTGCAGTGACATGACGGATACTACAGTGTCTAGGGTGTTTGTTGACGATAACCGTTATATAGTCTCCTGGTATAACTGAATAGCTTCGATACCTTCGTCTACTGCAGGTGACATGACGGTTACTACAGTGTCTAGGGTGTTTGTTGACGATAACCGTTATATAGTCTCCCTGGTATAACTGAATAGCTTCGATACCTTCGTCTACTGCAGGTGACATGACGGTTACTACAGTGTCTAGGGTGTTTGTTGACGATAACCGTTATATAGTCTCCCTGGTATAACTGAATAGCTTCGATACCTTCGTCTACTGCAGGTGACATGACGGTTACTACAGTGTCTAGGGTGTATGTTGACGTTATGTATAACTGAATAGCTTCGATACCTTCGTCTACTGCAGGTGACATGACGGTTACTACAGTCTCTAGGGTGTATGTTGACGTTTTGTATAACTGAATAGCTTCGATACCTTCGTCTACTGCAGGTGACATGACGGATACTACAGTGTCTAGGGTGTATGTTGACGATAACCGTTATATAGTCTCCCTGGTATAACTGAATAGCTTCGATACCTTCGTCTACTGCAGGTGACATGACGGATACTACAGTGTCTAGGGTGTATGTTGACGTTTTGTATAACTGAATAGCTTCTATACCTTCGTCTACTGCAGGTGACATGACGGATACTACAGTGTCTAGGGTGTATGTTGACGTTATGTATAACTGAATAGCTTCGATACCTTCGTCTACTGCAGGTGACATGACGGATACTACAGTGTCTAGGGTGTATGTTGACGTTATCCTTAACAAAAGTTTTTTAATTTGATCACTTATTTTGGCATATGACACAGTTGTGTTCAGAACTGGTGTGCCTGCGTTCTTCTCACCAGGGGACGTAACTCTTGAAACCTACTGTACATGTCACAGAAATTAGGTCATCATGTGAGATATCACCGGTATATACCGGCGCGTCTCTGTGAACACAGTTTTTGCAGTATCTGGAACACCCCATACGAGTCAGGTGCAAGGTAAGTGTGTCATGAAAATGACATTCTTTTGAACATCAAATACCACTGAAACATACGATTGGTCGAAATGTAGACAATGATGTGTTTGGTGGTGTTACTGCAGACCATACGAGATTATCTTTGAGTCGAGCAGAGGCTGTAATGTTTGCATATAACTACGCCGTTCAATACCCATCACGACCCGGGGTAAAACCATTAGGGAAAGTTATGTCCATTTTTCTTGAAAGTGTTTCATCAGCATAACTGAATAACTGCCCTTGGGCAATTATTTCTATTTAAAAACAATAAAATTGTACTCATTTTGATAATCTTCGCCATGCCTAATACATTACACGCGTATTAAATAAGTATGTCCTCGGTGTGTAAGCCGTTTAATCACCCTCACTGCAGTAGTTATTTAAATAAACTCAGCTCGGGTTAAAGTCCTCGCAGAGTTTATTTAAATAACTACCTTATAAGGGTCATTAACCTATACTAGTCCTTTGTGTCGAGGTAAAAATCCTTTGATTTTTGATGTTTTGACAACGGTGTTGTTTTGACGTATTAAGAGACTGGTTTCCTACAAAATGTAAAATGTGTCTCACTCAGGCACCGAAATATGATAAGTGTACCAGCGGGTTGACATGTGAACCAGAGGGTTCAGTGAGTGAGTATAGTTCATTTCCTTCATTAGTAGTGAGTAATTCACTTTCTTACATAAACCTGCATGCTATTTACAGCGTGATCCTTGTTCAGTTATTTTCCGGTGAACATTTTAGCATTTACCGCACCGTTGAAAAAACATTCGCTACCCATGGCCATTGTCTGGAACTTGTCGACCTTCACCCTGCAAACCGACTAGTTTAGTTCGTTTTGTCACTCATCCAAAGGTCGGGGTTGACGGGACCTGTCAAACTGCTGACACAAGCAATCGCGCTAAACCATTCACATCCCGGAAAGACTTCCGCCCGTATCCCCCCTTAAATTGTATTCAAATCATGTCACCAGAACCTAACATATATTCCTCATCTGATAAGGATGAGTTTTAACATGTTTTTTAATTGTATCTAAACATACTGAAACACATATTCAACTTCTAAATATGCCAGTCAAAGAAATGTTTCCTCATCATTAAAATTTAGGGGGGATACGGGCGGAAATCTTACCCAGATGCCCGGGTTGGTAGGTTCGGTCCCGTGGGTCCGAGTTTGACAGCGTGTTTTTGTGTACACAGCCTTCGCCTTCACCCTGCAAACCGACTAGTTTAGTTTGTTGTTTCACTCCATCCAAAGGTCGGGGTTGACGGGGGCGGTGGGTAGCCTAGTGGTTAAAGCGTTGGCTCGTCACGCCGAGGATCCGGGTTCGATTCCCCACATGGGCACAATGTGTTAAGCCCATTTCTGGTGTCCCCCGCCGTGATATTGCTGGAATATTGCTAAAAGCGGCGTAAAACTAAACTCAGTCAGTCAGTCGGGGTTGACGGGACCTGTCAAACTGCTGACACAAGCAATCGCGCTTAACCATTCAGATCCCCGGGTTAGTAGGTCCCGTGGGTCTGAGTTTGACAGCGTGTTTTTGTGTACACAGCCAGTGTCGGGTGCACACCTGGAGAGTCAGGTATAAGGTGAGTGTGGTAAAAAGTGCCCTTCTGTTTTACCATTGAAGTATACGACTGTCCGAATTATAGTAATCACTGGCGTTATTGCTCAACACCATAACAGTTTATCTTTGAGGAGAGAGGCTACAGGTAAATGCATACAACTAGGACTGCCACTCACTAACCCCTTTATCTTGTTTACACATGTAGTGCAGTGTCAGCCCTGTGTGGTAAAAATGGCATTCTGTTGTACATGAAGTACCACTTAAGCATACGGTGGTCGGAAATATAGAACCTATCTAAAACCTAACAGTTTATCTTTGAGGACAGAGACCGAATATGCTTGAACACAAACAGGCCAGTAAATAATCTATAACTCACTCGGAGACCTTCGTGTTGTTTACAAGCGATTGCTCGTGTTACAATGAACGTTTACAGCTACACATTCCCATGAATTTTCTTGAAATATCCGTGTCAATGTACCTCTGTTCATTCAATAGTATATGGGTACTAGTAAGGACAACATGGTCGGATGTACCTCTGTTCATTCAGTAGTATATGGGTACCAGTAATGACAACATGGTCGAATGTACCTCTGTTCATTCAGCAGCAAATGGGTACTAGTAATGACAATATGGTCGGATGTACTTCTGTTCATTCAGTAGTATATGGGTACAAGGAAGGAAAACATGGTCGGATGTACCTCTGTTCATTCAGTAGTATATGGGTACCAGTAAGGACAACATAGTCGGATGTACTTCCGTTAATTCAGTAGCATATGGGCACCAGTAATGACAACATGGTCGGATGTACCTCTGTTCATCCAGTAGCATATGGGTACTAGTAATGACAACATGGTCGGATGTACTTCTGTTAATCCAGTAGTATATGGGCACCAGTAATGACAACATGGTCGGATGTACCCCTGTTCATTCAGTAGTATATGGCACCAGTAAGGACAACATAATCGGATGTACCTCTGTTCATCCAGTAGCATATGGGTACCAGTAAGGACAACATGGTCGGATGTACCCCGTTCATCCAGTAGCATATGGCCACCAGTAAGGACAACATAGTCGGATGTACCCCGTTCATTCAGTAGTATATGGGCACCAGTAATGACAACATAATCAGATGTACCTCTGTTCATTCAGTAGTATATGGGCACCAGTAATGACAATATAATCGGATGTACCCTGTTCATTCAGTAGTATATGGATACTAGTAATGACAACATGGTCGGATGTACCTCTGTTCATTCATTAGTATATGGGTACTAGTAAGGACAATATAATCTGATGTACCTCTGTTCATTCAGTAGTATATGGGTACCAGTAAGGACAACATGGTCGTATGTACCTCTTTTCATTCAGTAGTATATGGGTACCAGTAATGACAACATAGTCGGATGTACCTCTGTTCATTCAGTAGTATATGGGTACTAGTAATGACAACATGGTCGGATGTACCTCTGTTCATTGATTAGTATATGGGTACTAGTAAGGACAACATAATCTGATGTACCTCTGTTCATTCAGTAGTATATGGGCACCAGTATGACAACATGGTCGGATGCACCCTTTTCATTCAGTAGTATATGGGTACCAGTAAGGACAACATAGTCGGATGTACCTCTGTTCATTCAGTAGTATATGGGTACCAGTAATGACAACATGGTCGGATGTACCTCTGTTCATTCAGTAGTAATAAGGGTACTAGTAATGACAACATGGTCGGATGTACCTCTGTTAATTCAGTAGTATATGGGTACCAGTGATGACAAAATAATCGGATGTACCTCTGTTCATTCAGTAGTATATGGGTACTATTAATGACAACATGGTCGGATGTACCTCTGTTCATTCAGTAGTATATGGGTACCAGTAAGGACAATATAATCTGCTGTACCTCTGTTCATACAGTAGTACATGGGTACTAGTGATGACAACATTGTCGGATGTACCTCTGTTAATTCAGTAGTATATGGGTACCAGTAAGGACAATATAATCGGATGTATCTCTGTTCATTCAGTAGTATATGGGTACTAGTAATGACAACATGGTCGTATGCTGTAACCTCTGTTCATTCAGTAGTATATGGGTACCAGAAAGGACAATATAATCGGATGTACCTCTGTTCATTCAGTAGTATATGGATAATAGTAATGACAACATGGTCGTATGTACCTCTGTTCATTCAGTAGTATATGGGTACTAGTAATGACAACATGGTCGTATGTACCTCTGTTCATTCAGTAGTATATGGGTACCAGTAAGGACAATATAATCGGATGTACCTCTGTTCATTCAGTAGTATATGGGTACTAGTAATGACAACATGGTCGTATGTACCTCTGTTAATTCAGTAGTATATTGGTACCAGTAAGGACAATATAATCGGATGTACCTCTGTTCATTCAGTGGTATATGGCTACTAGTAATGACAACATGGTCGGATGTACCTCTGTTAATTCAGTAGTATATTGGTACCAGTAAGGACAATATAATCGGATGTACCTCTGTTCATTCAGTAGTATATGGGAACCAGTAAGGACAACATAGTCGGATGTACCTCTGTTCATATAGCAGTAAATGGGTACTACTATGGACAACATGGTCGGATGTACCTCTGTTCATTCAGTAGTATATGGGTACCAGTAAGGACAACATGGTCGGATGTACCTCTTTTCATTCAGTAGTATATGGGCACCAGTAATGACAACATAATCGGATGTACCTCTGTTCATTCAGTAGTATATGGGTACTAGTAATGACAACATGGTCGGATGTACCTCTGTTCATTCATTAGTATATGGGTACTAGTAAGGACAACATAATCTGATGTACCTCTGTTAATTCAGTAGTATATGGGTACCAGTAAGGACAACATGGTCGGATGTACCTCTGTTCATTCAGTAGTATATGGGTACCAGTAATTACAACATAGTCGGATGTACCTCTGTTCATTCAGTAGTATATGGGTACTAGTAATGACAACATGGTCGGATGTACCTCTGTTCATTCATTAGTATATGGGTACTAGTAAGGACAACATAATCTGATGTACCTCTGTTCATTCAGTAGTATATGGGTACCAGTAAGGACAACATGGTCGGATGTACCTCTTTTCATTCAGTAGTATATGGGTACCAGTAAGACAACATAGTCGGATGTACCTCTGTTCATTCAGTAGTATATGGGTACCAGTAATGACAACATGGTCGGATGTACCTCTGTTCATTCAGTAGTAATAAGGGTACTAGTAATGACAACATGGTCGGATGTACCTCTGTTAATTCAGTAGTATATGGGTACCAGTGATGACAACATAATCGGATGTACCTCTGTTCATTCAGTAGTATATGGGTACTATTAATGACAACATGGTCGGATGTACCTCTGTTCATTCAGTAGTATATGGGTA